AAAAAAATTGGATAATCATATAACAATAACATCTCACGTGAAAAATATTTTCATAATCATTAATAATTAACTCAATTTTTATGAAACTTTTACATGCCATTTTATGTAGCATATATGATAATTTATTCCAATAGACCATTAGAATAACAAATTTCCTCTTTTAAATATATGAAAATGTATAAAATAATATCTATCCTTCTATATGTGACTATCATACCATCAATGAGATTCGAATGGTTGTTATAATAATATATAGAGTATATATTAATTATTTCAATTAAATATAGTCTAGTTTTATAATACATAAATTAAAATAGTATTGATTACAATTATAGTAAATAAATAAAAAATACTATATACGAATGTTTATGCTTAATTATAAGTTTAAATATATATTTATCATAAAAAATATAATATGAGTTAACATATTATTAATTGAGATAATTTTCCATAATGATTAATAAAATTAATAAAATATACTATAAATTGATGTTGAACTATGATTTTGAATACATAAATTAAAAAATAATTATGAAAAAAATTAATGTTTTGTTCTAGACGTAAATGATTGAATTAAATATCACATGTTGTTAATATATTTATAATAATTAGATAACATTACTAAGATATACAGTTAAAATGAATAAATTAAAAACAATTAAATTAATTTTATATGAAATATATATACGTAAACAATATCCCAAAATGCACACGGTTTTTTCTTAATTTTTTAAAGATAAATTGTTTATTTATTATAACATATATTATAAAAATTAAATATTATTTACATACATTTGTAAATATAAAAATAAAAGTAATAAAATAATTTATATATTAAAATATATAAAATAAAAACTAATTTATAATTGATTACCAATTATTCATTATACGATTCTAAATATAAAAAAATTGTCTATACAGCAGTTATCTATTCAAAATTTTTAAATATAGAATTAAAAATTTATATATTATATAATTAATTTTTAAAAATTATGATTCGTGTGCACCGTAGAACAAAAATTGGCTTATAATTTTGAAAATAAATAATATTTCATTATAATTTTTAAAAATAATTAACATGTAATGATAATATAGTAGTGTATATATGAAAAAATTAATCTAATACAAAAATTCGAATTTATGAATAAATTATACAATTATCATTAAATTTATTTATCATGAAGATGAACTCACATTAAAATGTAATATTTAAATAAAAAAGTTTTTACCCAAAAATAAGACACAAAATGTTTCTTCTGGTCTCCTCCGTGTCCTGACAATAAACCCTCTCTTCCTCGGCCCTCTTCCACTATCCCCATCCAATCGTCATTCTGATCACTGAAGACTGAAATAATTCGCTTTTCTTCGAAGCGCTCTCAATACGTCTGTGATTTCGCAGGTTTCTGCTTTAAATAACGTGTTCGGCGACATCTGCCCCACTCCTATGTATATTAACCTTGGCCATGGATGAGCTCTTGCTTAGGCTCGAGACTGTCTGGTTTCCGAGAAAATTTAATCTAACACCATCATTGTCTCAGGTCAGATGCAAACTCAATTTTCATATCTAAGAGATAGTGCTTATATGGAGCAGTGAAATTTTGGCTTTCTTCTTTGCTGTACTGTTATTAACAATCTATTGGATTTAATAGATTTACACTTTTTATTATTTATTATTTAAAAATTAACAATCTATTGGATTTCTGGTATGGCAAGAATTCTTGCTCTCTCATGCGTTATTCTTGATTTTTATTGGGAAATGCTACTGAGTAATCAATGGGACTTTCAGTTTAAGAGGAAACAAGTTCGACTAAGTTATGCATCTTCTCTCTTATATTGGATCAGTTTTTCTTTTTTAATTTTGACATTAAGAGACAAGACCTAGAAAGAATTAACAAATTACTTTCAAATTTTATAATGTGCGGGAAAGGAATTGCTAAATTTGCGATTAGTATTTTTTGCTGTTAGATAATAAGTTCGCTCCTCCTACAATTGGAAAACCTTGGTAGTGTCTACTTCAATAATTCAAGTGTAGAGTTGGTCTTTTATGCCGGTAATATTATATCTTCTCTTTAGCACTGGCGATTCCACCATGAGGTTTTCCATCTTTATCCCAAGTGTTTAAAATCTGATGCTGGGAAAAGAATTAACAGAAAGGAAGATAGAGAGATACAGAGGGAAGAAGTGTAGAAATATAGAGAGATAGCAGAGAGAGAGAGAGAGAGAGAGAGAGAGCAATTGAATTCTTTATTCATATAATGCAGTCCTTTTCAGCACTGGTTATTCCCTTCTACAGCTAATAGTTCTCTAACTTTGCCTAACCAAACTAACCCAGATTCTCTGACATTATATAATATTCAGGAAATTTTTTAAGAGAGCAAATTTACCATTATGATTACCTACATGTTGATTGACTTGTGAAACTAACATTTCCTCCACCAACCATTGATCGTGCAGCTTTAATCCCATCCCAAGAAACAAAGAAGGAAGGGGAACAATGGAATCAGATGAGGAGGATTATGTGTTTTACGGTACTCCAATAGAGTCTGAGGAAGCAGTCACTAGCCGTAAAAAGAAAGCAATTGCTGAGGCCTCTGGTCAATTGAGGACCCTCCCTCCTTGGAAGCAAGAGGTGTTCTTTCTTTCTTTTTCTATGTTTGTTTCAGAGTGGTTCAAGTGAAAGTGATAACAAATAAAATTTTAAACATGACAAAATTTCCTGTTGTTATTCAAATATCAGAAGAAAGAATTGAGGATAGACTTTGTTTGGTAAAGTTTAATTTTTTAGCTAAATAGATTGAAATATAATCTAATGTACAAATGAATTTAATGTTTGAAGTAAGTCAAGAAAATTTTAAATATTTTTTGGAAATTTGGAACAAGTAGGTAGTAAATTTATTTTATTTTTTGCGAATAATGATAAATTTAATTTCAATTGTCAATAATTGAACATAAATCTTTCCGGAGATGAATTTTAATGTTTGAAAAAGATCATAAAATTTTAAAATATTTTGTGAAATTCAGTTGTATCACTATATTTGGGGCAACACAAACAAGAGTCCAAAATGATTCGTAAGTTCGTTTATAATTTTCATTAAATTCTGTATATTTTAAGGTCCATTTGCTAAATTCTGTATGAATTTTATTTCTAAATAATTCAATAGCTTAAGATACTTTTGAAGATAAAAAATCACACATTTTCTTTGAAATTCATTTGTTCTATTTTTTTCAAAGAAAGAACAGAAATTTGTTAACGAGGCACCAAAGGCTGCTGCCCGAGTAGACAGATATACACAGAGAGTTAGACGGAATATTTGTAAGCTCTTGGAGAAATTTGTCACATGTAGCCTCTTATTTTCTTCTTTTTCTTTTTGTTCTCACTGCTTCCTGATCAGTCTTTTTAATGCTTATAACAAAATAGATAATCTGAAAGTTATCAAAGATGGCATCTGTTGTTTGCATTTCAATCTCCTTATTAACAAGACAAAATTAAGTAGGTTAGTTCTTTGTAATTTTGTTAATGCCATTTTGATTATGGCCACAAAAATTGTTTTTATGAAAATCCACCAATTCTTTAAAAGTTTATATTATAACTAGTTTCATTCAGCATTAACAGAAGACTTTTATTATGTTTATTATTTTTTTAATATAAAACCTTTTTCTAGATTTAGTTCCATTGTGGCAATGAAATACTCGTAATGTTTGTTTTAATGTATTCCTTCATGCAGGTTGAAACATAATAAATTTCTTGCAAGGGTTTGCTTTTCATTTTCCCACTTATGCTTTGTGGTCCGGTATTTATTCCTTTGTAATTTTATTTTGAGCTTTTCTCTCTTCAGGTTAGAGATGAAGAGGGACGTAGAAGATTCCATGGAGCATTTACAGGGGGTTTTTCGGCCGGTTACTATAACACAGTGGGGTCGAAAGAGGGTATACTTTCAATTAAATTTGATAACTGTTTTACTCGGAAATTTTAATATATATCTTTGCTTGAAACCCTGTGATCAAATTCTGTAGGTTGGACTCCACAATCATTTACATCATCACGGAAGAGTAGAGCTGAAGTCAAGCACCAGAGCATCTTCAGTTTTTTGGATGAAGATGAAAGAGCGGTATTTTTTATCATATTGTTTGCCTCAATATTTTATTAGCATGATGCATTGTTGAAACTATAAATTTTACTTTAGCATGTTTTTGTGCAAAGCTGCTTGGGCTATTCTTCATTAGTCTATAGAAATTTTCATTAATTGGTCTTTCTTTATACTTCAGATTTTTTATTTTATCTGTACTATAAGTATTTGAAACTATCTGGAAAGGTTTGTTATTTTTGTGCATTTTGCATGTATGAGATACAAGCAATTGGGTCTGTCATTGAAGTTTATGTTCTTAGCTGTTTTGGTCTGACCAATAAGAAGTTAACTAAAGTTCAGTTGTTTTGCGGGCTTTCGCATTTCAGGAATTGGAAGGTCA